TTTCCCTTCATTTGGGGATTGTTTCTTTGTCTTCTCATTGTTCATGAGACTCATCTTATTAGCCTCTGTTTCTTAAATTGATCTGTTCTGGTTCCCTGTGTTTATGGTGTGAACTTCTGTGGTAGAGTACCTGTGAGATTCAGAGGTGCAGTCTCCTTCGGGTATCCTGGTGTTCACAGCTTCCTCCTATTCTTTTTTTGTGATCAGTTGGAAGAGTAAGGCAAAATGGTTTAAGACAGCAACACGGTATTCTATGATATTTACAGTAGCAGCCAGTATAGAGGAGATGGGAGATCCTTTGGCTATGTATAGTGTTAACCGTGATCTTCCACCCCACTAGCCATGTTTTAGAAAGGATGGAAAGAAGATAAGACTCTTATTGGGGACAAAAGGATTGTTAGTTGGATCTAGAAAGCTATGAGGCTGTGGAAGGTCAGATTCTGAGGTAGGGTGGGAATAAAGATTAGTAAATAGGAGTAATGTGTAAAAGAATAGAGATAACCCCTGCAATAATAGAGTTCAGGAAATTGCGAAGTGGGCTGAGATCAGGGAGGGGTGTTGTGTAGTCTTTACAATTGTATGAAATAGGTCTTATTTACAGTAATATTAAAGCAACAATCATGTGGCAGAATCTATGAGATCTAGATAACAAGAATAAGGAGTATAGAACCTTGAGTGGTACACTAATGGAACACAAATGAAGAACAGTAAATTAGCAACACACTGTGAATGAGATAACAGGGGGAACCTATCCAAAGGACAGTATAACCAGCCACGCAAAGAAGATTATACAGAAAGAAAAAGAATACCAAAATACTATTAAAATAAAAAATGTCAGAAAAAATGATAATACCAATTTGCAGTAACTTGGAGGCTCAAAAGAAAAAGGGGGGAAAAAAGCAGAAGATGGAATGCAGGAGAGATAAATTTGGAGTGGAAGGAATAACAGTAGGATGAAAGGAAGAGAAACATAAGGAATTGAGAGATATAAAAATAATAATAATTAAAAAATAAAAAGTTACTTAAAAAACAAGATAAAATCAAACAATCAAACAACAACAGCCAAAAAAAAAACCCCAAAAAAACAAACAAAAAACCCCTTCTTGTTGGTTTCTAACTGGCCAAACCAGTTTTTCTGGTCTTGCTGGCTTCAGCAGGCTGAGGGGCGATTGGAATGCTTTTTATTCTTCCCAGTGAGCACTCAGTCAGTCTCTCATGTACAGTCCCCAGGGCTGACCGAGCGCTCTCCCCAGAGCTGATCTGATGCCTTTCCGCAGGGCCCAGGGTGTGGGTATGGGTGCTCCCAAGCATGCTCTTCAGAGCTCACTGCTGCAGTCCCCTGGGCTCTGGGGTCCCGCAGAGCATCTGAGTCTTTTCCAGGTTCATGGTGTAAGTTCCAGGGATCTCGAGGGGTTGCACCCTTCCCCCCATTTCCCCATTGCGGGCTCCAGGAATCTGAGAAGCACCTGCATCTTTTCCAGGTTCACAATGTGAGAGTCGGGAATCCCAAAGGGGCATGTGCTTCCCTAAGTTCACCACCGCAGGCTCCAGAATCCTGAGAATGCCCAAGCCCTTTCCTTGTTCAGGGTTGTGGGGTCTGGGTCTTCCACAGAACCACACTCTCACTGGGTTGTAGGCATGGGCACACAGCGAGGCCGCTCTTGGTCGAGCAGGCTGGGGCACTCACTTTTCCCAGGGCTAGGCGTGGGTGCTTGCATCTCCTGTGTGACTGTCTCTTAGTCTCGCTCCCCTCTCTGTGCCTTCAGGCAACAAGGCCTCCCCCAGTGCTGCTCAATCCTTGTGGTCCGGAGAGGGAGCAGTGACTCTGCTATCCTGGGTGCCCTTAGGCAGACCCTGGGGCACCAGGCCTGGGGGCTACAACCTCCTTGGTCCCTACACTGATCCCTGGGCCCTTATTATCCTGAAGCAGTCTCCTTACTGTCTGGTTTTTCAATGTCCGCTATAATTTTTGATGACATGTTTTCATAAATGTTGCGATATTGTTGGGTCCTTGCTCTGTTCCTCCACAGATCGGCCAGTTTCTCTCCTGAGTGTAGGGGAAGGGGAATACACTCCCTCCTACAATGCCGCCATCTTTCCGCTCCAAATTTAGTAACTTCTTATTTTATTTTTTTGAGACCAAACACTCATTTGTTCTCCAGAACAACAAATAAACAGGGTTAGAAGATTCTTTTTGTCCTTCATTATTTGTCAACTCTCTCTAGGTATATGTTCTCCCTATATAGATAGCCAGCCATTCACCTACATACATTTTATTTTAATGTTTTTGGTTTATCATTTCCATTCTGACTGTGAGAGCATTTTCACATCATTTTAGCTTTTCTCCCAACTTAACATATTTAGTCCTCTTGCATTAAAAAAATCTCTGCATTCAGCAGAGATATCAATATTCAACATTATTTCTTTTATGTTGTTGTTCAGTTACAGTTGTGCCACTTTTTCCCCATTGCTTTTCCCTGCCCTGCCCACCACTCTGCTCCCACAGTCTTACATATTTCCAGCATTTCCCAATTTTTCTTTCCTAATCAACAAAATACCAAAGTGTCTAACTTCACTAATCCTAAACAGTAGGGAGGCTTACAGTCACCCAGCAAAACTTGAGTCTATTCTCTTTTCTAAGGCAATGCTTAATTTAAACTTTTTTCTTTATTTTCTGTCTCTGATTAATTAAATATCTTCCAGTTTCCTTCTCATCCATATTTTGTACTTCAGCTGCATTGACTTTTTCTGAAGTGAAGATCTAATCACACATGCCCCTTTGTCACTTAGAATAGTTAGTTCAAGGGCTTCTCACTGCCTAGAGAGTGAAGCCCAGCCTCCTTCTCTGACACACAAGCTCCATTGCAGTGTGCCTCCTCCATGACCTTTCGCAGCTACACCAGCCACTTCTCAAGTGCTTCTTATCTCTGAAAGGGACACTCTTGCCTTTAGTGCATGGCTTTTCCTTTTGCACAATGGTACAAATCACTCCCAATCCGTGTCTCCCCCTGCCCCATCTCCTGAGTCTCCTTCCCAGGAACCTACTGCCACTTCCCACTCACTGTGAAGGCACAGTCTCTGGAGACTGTCGCCCTAGATTCTAATCATGGATGTGCCACTTCCTACTTCTGGACTTTCGATGTTATTCTCCCTTTCAGTTTTAGTTTCCTCATCTGTGAAACAGGGTGAAACTAGTGTTCATCTCACTAGATTGTTGTGAATTTATGTGAGAACTTAGTAAATGGTTATGACTAAATCTATTAATAATGTCCCATTTTATTTAGTGTTTTTGGTCAGCTTGAAGATAATAAAAAGATCATAAATAGAAAAAAAACACTACAAAGCCAAATATAAATGATTTGGGGATTGTCAATTAATTAGAATCAGTCATTTTCGTTCTCTTTTGTTGATTAGGATGGTTAACACATAGTTTTTGAAATTCAAAATTAAAATGAAATAAATCTAAATGAATAAATACCTATATTGAAAAAAGAATGGAATGTAAAAGTAGCTATGACATAATTACTCAACTGCTTTTCTAATCTCAGTAAGTATTTTATTGGGAGAGTTCCAATGTTTTCAAATTTCAGAATATTTATCCTATCCTATCTTAGGAGACTAGGAAAATGAAAATTTGACATTGTGCTCTGATGATTCATGTAATTACCACAGCACTTAGCTTAGGCATGCTGAAAATTTGGCTACCTCCAGGACCAATTACCTGGGTCTGAGGTTTGCAGCAGTACATAGGGTCTGATCTTAAACCAGGCAGCAGGGGATCCTGATGAATAGGAGAAAATAGGTGCTTTCAGATGATTTCTGGAATACTATTTAGATCTCTAGTTGGCTCAGGGTAAGATTATACTTCTATTTGAAGCAGCGTGTTCTAGAGTAGTTAGAAGGAGCCCTGATGTTATACCCAGGAGATTTCATAGTTGGGGACATAGTGCAATGGCTGGTATTTAGTGGTGTTATAGATTTACATAAGAGAAGGTTCCATTCCTAAAAATCTGCCAGGACAGAGGGAAGTCTGAGGAAAGGTGAGGGGTATTTCCTTGGTCTCCTTGATAGCCAGTGTTGGCACTCTCCTGGATGATTGTTTCCTGATTTTTCTAGGATAATAGAAGAAACAGGGAATGTTTTTGGCAAAATGGGTGTGCTGGTTACCCTAAAGTTGGAGTGAGGAGATGTGGTCAAAACAAAAAAAATTAATAGATTTATTACAAATGATTGCTCTTCTTGCCTCTCGGCACGTGTGTGTGTGTCCCTCATTCAGTCTCTTCCTTGTGTGTGTCTAGTACCTTCCTCTATGTTAATAGGGTTAAGTGTATGTGTAGTACTCAGAAGACCAATGGGATAATAGAAACTCTTATATATGCAGAAGGACCTCCCTTCCATTAAAGTGTCACTATGTTGTACACTACATTATAACAACATCGTCTGGGAAGATTGCAGTGATTATTAAGTCCCTTGTGTATTGAGACTATTAATGTTAACAATAATGCACAATGCTTCCATTCCAAGTAAGCATTTACATCTGTAGATACATCTGCATTTACCATGGGTCTGAGCATGATTTATTTCTTTTGCTTTGGAATTTTTCAATTTGAGGCCTTTTGTGAGAGTTGACATGAATACAGCTTTGTTTCTCTTTGTAACGTCTGTCAGTTAGTTTTAATAATTCATTAATTCAATAAACATTTAATAACTATCTATGCTACATGCCAAGCACTGTTAGAGTTTACATGGAACAGAAAAACAAGTAAGGTGTGGGCCTGTGCTCCAAGCATTCACCATCTGCTAAATTTTTTTCTATGGTAAGAATATCTTTCTTTATTTTTAATAACAATCAAATTTTAATGTTTATATGTGATAGAATCTACTATGATCAACAATAGTACACTTTATGCCATTATTTAGCTATCTATCTAAATGAAATTTAATCATTATTTCTCCTTACTTCTACCCTTCATCACATCCTGGGCATCTTCTCTATGAAGCTGAGTCATCCAATGGTGGCTATTCCTGAACATGAAACTCTTGATTCCAAAGAGGTAAATGTAAGATACAATCGGAGATTTTGTTTTCCATCCATATCCATGTAATATTAGATTGTAGGGATAAACTAATGTTATTTAAAAATATATTAATGTAATTGTGGGGTTTTTAAAAGAAAGACTTAACTGGCCCACTTTATGTTTGTTAAGGAGAACCTGATAGCTAAGTGAATTTTTGCTGCTTCTCAATGTGGAAGGTTGCTTTAGAGGTTCTCATGCAGGTAGCACCTCGATCACCAACTAACTCCTTCTATCCTGACTTTCTTTGTGATTTTCTCTTTGGATTCATTGTGAAGCCACTGATGCCTTTTTTTTCTGGAGGGTCAGTAGGTGTCACCTAATACTTACAGTGTATCTTCTGAGTCAGAGGTCTCTGTATTCCATGGTGTCTCAGTTTCTAGCCCCCCAAGTGAATTTTGCATGTGGCAAGCAGCATACAGACAAAAGCATGCCAGCTCAGACACAGCCTATAAATTTCATGTAAATGTTTAGCCACTTTCAAACTTTGAAAGACCAAAAAAATACATTTTTAAAAACTCATTTTTATTTTTGTTAATGACACAAAAAAAATTCTGTAAGTTTTTTTTTAAATTTTGTGTTTAGCAAAATATCAACAGCAAAAATAATTGAACAATGCTTTCTCCTTCTACATCCTCTCAGGCAAAGTGATAAATGTAAAAACAAAAGTGACTTTTTAAAAGAACTTCTTAAGAAAGGAACAAGTGAGCTCACCCATCCATTTCAGACACCCTCACCAATGAGCCATGCTCAGTTTTGCAGCCTCCAATTTTATGGGGAGAAAAGCCCCATTATTTCTACTTCTACAAAAGAAGTAGAAATAATAAAATTCCAAATAGAATCTGAATATTTTCCCCAAAGTATCTTTTCCACATTTTGGGGCATATTATTCAGTTTTCATAAACCGACATCTTATTTCTGCACATTTTTAAAGCCTTACCATACAACACAAATGTGCCTTTTTATTATAACATTAGACATTAAAACATAAAAGATGTGTTAAGAATAGGTGTGGATTTATATACTTGGTCACATCTCTGATTTTTAAAAAATAGGATTACTGGTTCAATGAGTATTAACTTATGGAAAATTTTGATACATATAGCCAAATTGCATTCCTGAAAAACTGTAGCAGTTCATCCTAACAGAAATCTCTAGTAATACCTGTGTCTCATGTATACTTGTTGCATTGAGAATTATTATAATTGCCAGTTTATTGAGAGCTTACTATATGTTAAAATGTGTTATGCACTTTATATGCATTATCTTACTTAATCTTCACCAAACATTGTAAGTTAAGTACTATTATTATTCCCATCTTACAGATGAGGAAACTGAGGCTGAGGGAAATCAGCTAAAGCCACATAGCTGGACAGTGCACGATCAGGAGCCCAGATCTGACTGCCTGAAGCCTGTGCTGTTGAGCACTCTGCCATACCCTATCTAGCTCTCTATCTTCACCTAAACGTCTCTCTGTGTTATCTAAATCTGTCTCCCTGTTAAAATCATATTTTAAAATATTTGCTATATAAAAGGATAAATTATATTTTGTTCTAATTTGCATTTTAAAATTCTGTATTTTCTGTTACTTTTGTCTATTTTCTTCTGCATTAAGTTATGAATTTATCTACTGGTATGGTGGCATTGTTCTTAGTGCATTGTAAACTACCTTTATATATTAAGGATATTAACTCTTTGTCAAATATGCTAGCTCTTTTGGTGTGATGGTGAAAAATTGTGTAACAGTGAAAATTCAGACAAGCATATATGTCCAAAAAGAAGAATGGTGGAATAAATTTTGCACATTCCAGGTGAATGCATAAATCAAATATTCTCTTTCTTTCAAACTATAATTTTGGCTGAGGTTTATATAGGTGATAGCTATATAATAAGAATGTTTCTATACAATAATAGAAAATCAGCTGGTTGATTAAATAACAAAAGCACCGAGATGTAACAATAAATACTGAACTAAAAACTTCTGAATATTAGGTAATGCTGAAAGACTATGTTGAAAAAAGAATTGGGTAGAGGTAGTATTATAGTATTTTCTTTTTTCACCAATTACCATAACTCTAGAGACAAAACTTAAAATTAAACTAGTGAGTAAGATTGTCAAAAATGATTTGAATCTCAGACTTGAAATATATGAAAACACCACATAAGAAACTACAGTTTGAAGTTTAGCAATTGTGGGAAACAGTAAGTTAGATAATATTAAGGAAATGTAAATAATTAAGAAAAAGGACATTTTGTGCTTTTAGTGTTCTGTATTTTGCTTTTTAGTAAAAGTGGCACATTTTGGAGCAATTTAACACAATTTGTGGTTCCTTATGATATGTGGTCAGACTGTAATACTAATCTCTGTTTTCTTCCCTAAACTGTTTTTGTTGTTTACCTGCAAAGCATCAATCAAGAAGATTATCTGTTTTTAAATAGCAGTTCTAGTCTTTTAACTATATAGCCTCAGGAGGAAAGCATTCGAGTCACAAACCCAGTAAAGTGAACAATTATGGAAGAAACCTTCATGGGATCTCAAAATTTACCTCTTAGGTTTTCTCCCATTTTTTTAAAGACAGCAGTCTGTCTTTTTTTACTACGCTACTCCCATTTCTTGTGTTCCATTATTCTATTGTAGATTCTAGTTTTTTTTTAAATTACCTTGGTAATTCGTTTAAAACCAACAGACCTCAGATTTATCTGATTTGACCTGATTACTGTTTTCATAATTCATGTAATTTAAAAAGTACATTGAAAAAAGAACTAATTCAAAACAATCCACTTATCATCTAGTTCAGTGGTTGTCAAGTCTGGTAGAACATTAGAATCTGCTTTATGAAAGTCCCAGGAGCAGGGTTCCACTTCTGGCAAATTGAATCAAGGATCTCTGGAGGCGGACAAAGACATTGGTATGTTTTCAAATCTTGGTGATTCAAAATCACAAGAGTTGAGATCCTCAAATTCTAGCTTCTTCATTGGCAGTTAGGAAAGCCAAAAAAAAAATCAGTTATTCAATCATAGAAACAAAAACTTGAAAGTAAAGCAGGAGAATTATTTAAGAAATTAGTTTCAGGGGATGCTTTGAACTAATAGAAATTTGGGCCACACATACCTGTCTGTTGAAAAGGCTTATGTGTGTTTTAACTTGTGTAGAGTAATTTTGAGAGCTCTGTCCTATTGAGATTCATTATAATTTATTTAGTAAAATCTAACACTTTGTCTCTGTGTGTTCTTTGTATTCCACTCAGTTTTGGAAAATACTTAGGCTAAAGTCTTGCAAAGCATTTGGTGCAAGCTGAGGTTGGGGCTGGTGAATTCCAATGAATGTTTTATTTAGCATTTTATGTGGCACTTTAAAAAAATACTTGCTCACTTTGGCTGGGCCTCAGTTGGTTAGAGCCCTGTCCTGATGCACCAAGATTGCAGATTTGGCCCTGGCTGTTGTGGCTCAGTGGATTGAGTGCCAGCCTATGAACTAAAGGGTCACAGGTTCAATTCCCAGTCAGGGCACCTGCCTGGGTTGTGGACTAGGTCCATGGTGGGGGGCGCACGAGAGGCAATCACACATTGATGTTTCTCTACCTCTTTCTCCCTCTCTCTCCTCTCTCTAGAAATAAGTAAATAAAATCTTTTAAAAAATTGCAGGTTTGATCCATGGTCAGGGCACAAGAATCAACTAATGAATGCATCACTAAGTGGAATGACAAATAGATGTCTTTCTCCTTTCCTTTCTCTCTAAAATCAATCAATTTTTTTTTAAATTTGGTCATTGATGAACTCTCATACAAGAAGATGAGGTCTCAAAATAATCAGTTTTAATAGTCAGTTTTAATAAATAGTCAGCTGGCTGATCAATTTTCAAAGAAGTTCCCTTTCATAGATTTCAATTATTCACACCAGTGCAGTAATCTCCAAGAAGATATATAGCTAATACCATCTAATTCTGATCAAATGCCCTGCCTGACATTCATGATTTTTTGAGTAGGGTTACTTAGAAGAAAATAAATTCTTGTAGCAATAATTATTTCTGGTTGTATTCATCACGTTTTGTGAATTCAGCATCTCTTTGATCCACAACCACTCTATAGCCCACTTCTCTTTCTCAGGTTTAATTGTAAAAGTCCTATTGGGGAATGACATATAAACAGACCTGCCATTTTCACATTATCTACTACATGTGGCCCTATGCCTGTTTTATTTTATTTATTTTTTAAATTTTATTTTAGTCATTGTTCAAGTACATTTTTCTGTCCTTTACTCCCATTCCAGCCCACCCACCCATCCCTCCCCACCTCCCTCCCATTTCCACCCCCCCTAGTTTTTGTCCATGTGTCCTTTATATTTGTTCCTGTAAATCCTTCCCATTCTCCCCTGAAATTCCCTCCCCTCTCCCCTGTGGTCACTGTCAGCCTGTCCTCTATTTCAGTGTCTTTGAGCCTGTTTTATTTTTAACTTGAGAGTCATTGGTTTCCTCAACATGATTAGATGCATTTGATTTCAACCTTTCAGATCTACTTTTTACTAATATCACTTGAAAGCTAATCATTTACTAGCTGCTCATAAAACATATACCTGGCAAATTCTTCTCCTCTTTTCTTATTCCTCCTTTTTGCAAATTTTGATCAACATTTAAGGGCTGGCAAGATCAAAATTCTGCTAGCAAGGTCACTATGAGTGATTTGCTGCTCCCTCCATGTGTATAAGCTTTTTATTGTGCTCACTTTATTTTGAGTTCCAGAACCCCCTTTGATGTCTAAGTTTTAGTTTCTCATTCATCTGTCTTTATTCTCCAGATGACAACAATAAAAAAGAAAAAATCAGTGACTTGTCCATGGAAGCCAGTCTCATTTTCTGGTTTGATTTAAGGGTAAAAATGAAACTATCAAGAATGGGCTCACTCTGTTCCCTTCACGCAATTAGTCTAAATATTACTTCTCAAAATCAAGTTTTGATAAATCTTGAAGAGTTCAAGGTTGTAATCTTAGGCAAGAACTTGAAATATGGATATCACTAACTGCTAATTAAAAGAAGATTCATATGCTTTGATAGACAACTGGCTGGAAGACCGGGGTAAATTTGCCTTATAAAGACATCTAATGGGGCATGTGAATTAACAGTACCTTGCCCAGGTATTATAGTAGGCAAGGAAATATTATAATAAAGGGAAGGGCATCCCTATTGCCAGATTTGGCAGCAGTGAACTCTGACAAAGTGAATTTCCTGTGTTGTAAGCCCCAATCTGTGTTGGGAAAATATAATTAAAACAAAACAAAACAACCCCCAAAAACTTTCTACCAAACCAGAAGTCAAATTCACAAAGGCACTTTCATGCTTATTTTGTTACTGAATAAGCATGAAACCAGAATGTGACATGCATCACAGACAGTCACTAGGGGATTGCAAAGCAGGACAAATCTCACCCTTACTATAGTCAAGCATACACACACACACACACACACACACACACATGTTCTCCAGATAAGTAATAATTCAATTCATTCTCCAGAAGAGGGCTTGACAGCGTCATTTATTACACGTAGTTTATCTTTTATCACCTGGTAAGTGAGGTGACCAACTGTGTCAGTTAATTGGCTTTTATACAAAGGAAAAATAAGCTTTTCATATCTTTATCACAGGAGGTAGTTTTATAACTTGGAGTCAGGGATCAGCTGAAGTTAGGCTCTTCCCCTCTCTCAGAAACCAAGCGACAGGGATGGTCTCTCACTTGAACATTTACTTGGTGGTCAAACCTTGTTTGTGGGCCTTGGTGGGTCTTAAAGCTGACAAAATGTCCATCTAATTTTCTAAAGGGCTTATATGCATTTTAAAGAATGGAGAATTTACTCACCGTGACAAGTTTCCTAAAGTAAATGCTCCAAGAACAGAGGGTGGGAGATCTCTTCCCTTATTTTCCACAGGAGAATTAAGCATCTTATGTTTTATTTCTATCTATCCTTACACCTGGTTGGCAAGGGGCAGAGCTGAAATCTGAGAAAGTCTTACTGTGAAGTAGTGAGTAAAAAGAAAGAAACCTCACTTACCTTCTTGTCTAGGGACTTAGTTGAATCTACTGTAGGAGCAGTTCAGAGCTGACACTTTGGGGGACTCCCCTTAAAGTCCTCTCAGTGGAGTGCTGTTGGATTTTGTTTTCTAGTGAATCATGGCAAAGCTGAGCAAAAGCCAGGAGCTGGAATGACTTCCACACTCTGTGTGCTAGTTTTTCAAGATGAACAAACAATATAAGATCCATGTTAATAATTATATGGAGCTTAGGTCATCCAGATATTAAATGTTTTTGACCCCAGGTTCAACGCTGTGCTCTCTAGGGTCCATTCTACCTGTACTCTCTGTCTATCACAATGTCTTTCTGGGACCTTAATTACTGAATGCTTTATAGCTTCTGGCTTATGGACAATATATTCTAGTAGTAGATCTTGTGTCTTTACACCAGTTAGTGGTTATGTAAATGTCCAAAGTACATTTGAAATCTTTCAGCAAAAATGAGTACGTAGCATTAATACCATGATACACATTTTCTGGAAATTGCCTTTTGTTCTGCATGCGTGAAGTCTGGCTTTATATTGACAAGAGCACATATATTGATCATTCTGTTTTCATTTGGCAGAGAAGGGTATGCATAGAGGGTTTTGTATTAAAAGGGGCTGAGAAGTCAAGGCATACTGCACATTCTGTAACAAAAATGCTTTCTGTAAAACTGGTCTAAAGTTTCACAATACTACATCACTTGTTACTCAAAGTAAATTTGAATTAAAAATATTTTTTGGAACTCAACTCCCTTCAAAATAATGATTTTCTTTATGTTTTCTTACATCCAAAAGAAACAGGACAGTCAGCTGGAAGCATGTGAAGTACTGGGCCTTCACCAACAGGATGCCAGTCTGCAAATAATAGTTTATTTCTTTATTTTATTAATGATTTTCATCTTTCTTAAATGTCAACCTTTGTTTTTTTCAAGTTTTTTGGCTCGTTACCTGTGTGGAGATCAGTAAAGGAAAGTAACAAAGTTCTCGGAATGTCTAATGCTGGGCCTCTGCCTGCCAGAGTGCACCGTCCCACCTCACCCCAGGGCCGCCCTGCAGTGCCCCCTTCTCTCCGCTCTGCCAGGGGGCTCAGGAAGCAGGGCTGAGTTTGCCAGCCAGCTGTCAGGATGAACTGCCTATTCCTCCTCATCTGATCTAATTCTTCATGTAATTTTAAAACTTATATCCGAAAGAGAATTTAGAAGGCGTTTAATCCAACATTTAATTTAAAGTTCTAATCATGTCTACAAATATTTCCTTATATGTCCTCTGTTTAAACTTTTCTGGTGACAAGTAAGATACAATATATGTTTTAAGTGTTGCTAAGACAAACTAACGACTACAAGAACAACGAAAACAAATAGAAAACATTGAAAGACGGGGGCTTAATTTCAAATACTGTGGCCTTGAGCATGATATTTAATCTTTTTCAGTCTCAATTTAATTCTCTGTAAAATGAGATCAAAGGATGAAGGTGAAGATATATATTAATGCATATAAAGTGCTTAGCATATAAAATATATAACACTTAATGGTTGTTAGTCAAATCATGATGATTTCTTTAAATCTCTTGTGATACTGCTAACAAATGTTGAAACTTTCAGGAAAATCTAAATAAATAATGGTTTTTATTTGTTAGAAGGAACAGGAGATGTAATTTCGTCATTTCCTCTTTTCATTTAAAGCTTCAGAGAATCCCAGGTGGTGAAAGCTACGACTCACTTATTTCATGACTGTTCCTTCTCTGGCCAGAACAAATCAGTAATGGAGCCACCCCTTCCTTTTAGTAGCTCTCTAACTCCTCTGTGTTGTCTAACAAATGCAGTTTCTCCTGAAGTGATACAGAATGTATTAATGTCTGACAATCACAGGCCGCCACTTGGCCATTGCTGGGTTTCCCGCCTGCTTTGCTCACCCCTTGCACACAGCCCGTGTTCTTCTCCCGGGGTGGGGGGGTCTCTTTCGGACCACTGCTTCTTCATGCTGTGACTCGGCCCAAGAAAAAGCAGGGAGAGCTGCCTTCAAAGAGCAGCTGGCCTCTGCAATTCTCCACCCGCCATTCTGGAACACTCTACTGTCAGCCACAAGTTGGCACCTGAAATAAAGTTTAGGTCATTTGCTTCCATTGGTGTCATTCTATTACATTCTAGCGGAGTAATGTTTTAGAATTAAATTTCTCTTTGGGCCTCATGTCTAATACTTTGTTTTATATTTTTGTCTTAAATTATATGACCTGCTCATACCCATTTCTGTTCAACTACATTTGTCTTATCTGCTCCAGACAGTCAACCACTATCAAATAGAAATACATAGAGATT